TCAGAAAACTGGGCAATGACTAAGGATAAGAGAAGAAGAATTGATTACTTTGAGTTGTGGTACTCACAAAGAGTACTGACTATACCATGGATGCTAAGAGAACAAGTAGATCCATCCAGCACAGGGTGAAAAAAAGCTGCTCCTTGGAGACAGGGGTTTTAACGTTTTATCTGACATCCTTTGGGCATGTTGCCAGGAAGGATCAGTTCTTGGTGAGGGATATTATGCTTGGAAGGGTAGAGAGCCAGAAAAAGAGAGGTAGACCCTGGATAAAATGTACTGACTCAATGACTGGGGTCATGGGGACAGGTGAGTCATAGAGGCAATGAAACTGGCTCAAGATAGAGCAGGGTTCAGGGTTGTTGTACACAGGGTTGCTATGAGTCATAGGCAACTCAGTGGAAAATAGTAACAACAACAATGGCCTGCAGAAAGCTGAAACAGGATCCACATCTTACACCTTACACAAAAATCAACTGAATGTGGATTAGACATAGGAGTAAAGCCCCAAAACACAAAGATCATAAAAGACAAAATGGGACTAAACTTTGAAGTCCTAACTTATGTTATAAATAGGCTGGCAAATATAGCCAGAAATGCACAACCAGGAAAGGATAACATCAAAGAATGGGACATTCTAAAGATTAAATCCCTGTGTGAATCAAAAACTTTTTCCAACAGAGTAAAAAGAAAACCTACTGACTGGGAAAAACACTTGGCAATATTATCTCAGACAGGAGTCTCATAATAGAATTTTACAAGATACTAAAGGGCCTCCACAAGATAAACCTCAAGGAAAACAGAACTGAGATACAAATGGGAGATCTGTACATCAATGTTCCTGGCACTATTAGTCACAATAGCAAAAACATGTAAACAGCCCAAATGTCCATCAACAAACGAATGAATTGAAACTAAAAAACTGATAACCCAATTACAAAATGGGCAAAAGATATGGAAAGATTTTTCATAGAAGACAACATTCAGATGGCCAACAGACACATGAAGAAATGCTCAAAATACCTGGCAATAAGAGATGCAAATCAAAATCACAATGAAACACCATTATCACCTCAGTAACAATGGCAAAGTTTAACAGGACAGTAAGCAATAAATGTTGGAAAACATGTGGAAGGACTCTAAAACACTGTTGGAAGGACTGCAAAATGGTAGATACATTTTGGAAGATAGTTTCTTCAAAAAGCTGATCAAAGAAATTCCACTGATCATAATAAACCTTGAGGAAAAGAGAACTGAAACACAAATGGAGATTTGTACACCAATGTTCTTAGCACTATTTATCACAATAACAAAAACATGTAAACAGCTCAAATGTCCATCAATAAACAAATGAATTGAAAAATCTTGGTACATTCACATGATGGAATACTACACAGTACTCAGGAGCAATGATTCAAAAAATACCATGTGGGAATCCCAGAACACTTGATTGTGCTAATGCGAAACCTATACTTGGACCAAGAGGCAGTCGTTAGAACAGAGCAGGGAGATAATACATGGTTCAAAATCAAGAAGGGGGTCTGTCAGGGATGTATTCTGTCTCCGTATCTTTTTAATCTGTATGCAGAACAGATCGTCCGAGATGCTGGGCTGTACGAGGAGGAATGTGGCATCAGGATTGGTGGAAGAGTCATCAACAACCTGCGTTATGCAGATGACACAACCCTGCTTCCTGAAACTGAGGAGGACCTGAAGCCCTTGCAGCAGAAGGTCAAGGACTGCAGCCTCCTATATGGATTGAAGCTCAACATCAAGAAGACAAAGATTCTCACCACTGGGCCAATTGGCAGCATCAGTATGGATGGTGAAGAAATTGAGATAGTTAACAGTTTTAGTTTGCTTGGTTCCACAGTCAACACTCGTAGAAATCAAGAGATGAATTGCATTGGGAAAGTCACCTGTGAGGGACCTCTCAAGAGTACTAAAGAGCAACAATGTCAGACTGGAGACTAATGTGTGCCTGACCTGGGCTATAGTCTTCACAATTACATGCTATGCATCAGAGAGTTGGTCAGTGAATAGGGATGAGAGAAAGAAAATTGATGCCTTTGAACTGTGGTGCTGGAGAAGAGTGTTGAATACACCATGGACTGCTGGGAGAACAGGTTTGTTCTGGAGAAGGTGAAGCCAGAATGCTCCTTGGAGTCAAGGATTCTGAAGCTTCATCTGACATACTTTGGGCATGTTGCAAGGAAGGACTGATCCTTGGAGAAGGTCATTATGTTTGGCAGGGTGGAGGGACGGCGCAGGAGAGGAAGACCCTCAATGAGATGGATCGATTCTGTGAGTGGAGTGGTGGGAATGAGTGTGTTTGAGATGGCTGGGTTGGCACAGGATAGAACAGCATTTAGAGCTCTTGTACAGAGGGTCGCTATGAGTCGCAAGTGACTCGATGGCACATAACAACAACAATGTGGTATTGGCAGTTAAAATGGTAATTCCATAAATTTCTATGATTTTTGTAAAAAGAGCTAAGGGAAGTTTTAGAGTTAAAAACAATCACTGAGGGTTGGTAGGGAAGGGAAAGGTGGAGCAGAGATTAGCAGATGGATGTATTGGGTGAAGAGAAAGGTTTACACTGAGGACTTGATGAAACATATGCCATTGATCAATTGTACCTAATATAAAACACACTGTATAATAATGATTGAATAAATACCAACAAAAATACAATGTAAAGACATTTTTTTCAAATAATATTTGTCAAAATCTTAATACATTTTCTTTGTCATTAAAATCTCAGTAGCAGTAATTTGTACTTTTGAGAAAAATAGAAGATTAACTGAGAAAGATGTATTTAACTGTTCAAAAGAGAGGAATGGAAAAGGAGAAAGAGAGAAATCACTAGCATAGTAAAGGTTAGTGGGCAACTCAGGGGAGGACAAAACAGGAAAGATTCAATGTGTAATTGAAAAGATGGGGTAATAATAGCCAAAGAGAAACAGTAATTAATAACAAACAATATAATGTATATATAATAAATTATTAAAGGACAAAGTATAAGCACAACGTATATGAATGACACACAATATAAATGAAAAAATGTATAAAACAAAATGTATATGCATGAAACATAATACATATGAATAACTGCATGCAAATCAATAAAAATATGAAAAGGGGGGAAATATCTCAATGGCAGAAATAATACTGGCTGATCAAGTACTCAGAATTCTTAAGTAATATCTTTGTGAAAGTTTAAGCTATTCTTAAATGTAATCAAAATAATTATCCAAAATAAAAAATACATCATTTGGAAAATAATTTTATAAAATTAATATTATTAGTATGCCTCACTTACCTCCCGTACTTTTGAGTGGACTGGAGACTTTCTTTGGAGATTAATTCCATGATACATGAAGTCTTGAATGCAATCATTCTCAATTGCCTGAAATAAATATAATACAAATTATGCAATATGTGTGTGTGTGTGCACACGCATGCCTGTGTCCAAGGACACAGCATGACAGTACAACATTCTAAATACAAAAATAAAATGTTATTTTGATGACTGATTTAATGAGGAAAGAAAATCTGGATCCAAGTTTTAAATTTTATACTGTATGGTTACAGGATGAGGCAAAGTAGAAAATTCATGGACAATCACCTTATTGGGATAGGTGAAGGGAAGGACAATGTGGAATGAATGGATGATCAGAAATTGTATCTATTATAATTAATGATATGGAACAAAATAGGCATGACTGATTGACTAAAGAAAACAGTAAAGAGATTTATAGATAGAATCAATCTTAGAAGGGTTTCAGAGGTAAGAAGGGAGTGAGGGGGAGCAAATACGAATAAGCAGGTTGAGTGAAGGGATTTAATGAGACATTGCAATTAAGTTCATTAACCAACCATCCTCAATGATACAAAACGTGCACCAATGAATGAATGAAAAATATTTTTTTAAAAAGAGCCAATTTTGAATATTTATATCCTCTGGAATTCCTTTCACATGGATACCCTTGAGAATCCTTAGCCTCATCTTTGATGAAATAACAAATTTGTGGCAAATGGCAAGGCAAGCTTCCACTTCTCACTCTACTCCAGTTTAAACTCAAAGTTCAGAAATGTTAGTGTAGCAGCATGACACATAAACTCCTTTCCCTGACCAAGAAAACCTGAAAGACATCAAATCTGCTGCAGAAGGTTTTGTACAGTGAACTAAACTTTTTTTTAAATACAAACAAGGATTCGAAATTGACTGAAATCCATTTTCTAAGAGTGCCCTATTGCAAGACATGGTCTGATAAGCTCCTCAAGTTAACTCTACAAAAAGTTTCTCCTGACAGAAATGACTTGAAGAAAAGCTAAGCTTTGAAGAACAGCCAAGAATTCCAACAGATCATTTGGCCAAACAGTTACCACAGGACATCTCAAACCCACTCTGCCCAACCTCTCACACCTATCACCACATATTTACACACCCATGGCTTTAAGAAATAATGCCAGATATAGGGAAAACTCACAATTAAACTAATCCAATTATCTTTGGGAAACACGTTTTTCTTATGGTGTTACGGTATGATGAAATATCAAAAACACGGCATTAATTGTGAAGTATTTGTGTCAAAAAATTGAGTTCTATTCCATTGTGTGCTAAGGAGCAACAATTTAATAAAAATTGCATATACATCTATTAACAGAAGCGTATAGACAGAATTATGAGTGAACTCAGTCTCATATGACAAATACTGCATAAGACCATTATTGTAAAAATAGGATAACTAGTAAGATGTGTTTGAAAGTCCAAAAGGGAAAAACGAGGACAGTAGGGCGTCGAGGTTGAGGAGGGGGAAAACTCTAGGATAACAAGAGTTTGGTGGACAGATGAGGGGAAGGAGTGAAAGAATCAAGAAAGATCAAGAGGGGACCTGAAAAGACCAAATAATAGCAGGCATAGATCAATGATGATTAAATTTATAAAACACAATGTATATAAATGATTGTATGAAACACAATGTGCATGAAAGCATGTGTGAGACACAATGTATGCTAATTTTACATGCAAATCAATATAAGATAAAAAACATTTTTTTAAAAAGTTGCGTTGTAAGAGATAATTATCAAACTATTGTAGAGTCTACAGGATTAATGACTGGCATTCTTCAGCTTATCACTGGTATGCCTATAAAAAATAAATTTCAAAGACTTGCACTGCTAATTGGTGTGATTAATATGACTAAATGGACAACTGTAGTAGACTGAACTGGCAAGTGACATGTATTTATTTATAATAACAAAACAGAGACAGAAGAGCAGTTCCTAGTTATTGCTAATGTGCAGTCAAGTGCTTCATGACTTGGGTATCTGTCTTTGGAGATTTACAAGTTATAATTGCATGAACCATCCTAGTCTAATATTTTGATTAGTGCTTTTGTTTTATCTCCTAAAGTACTGGATAGCACCTAGTGCCTTAAAAGATGGCCTTCAAGGTACAATTGGTCTCTACCTGCCTTAGGTAGCTGAGGAAGAAAGATGGGCAACCTTCTCCCATGCAATTTACTACCTCAGGATCAACCATGGGTCGGCTGTGACTTGATGGAACATAAAAACAAGTAGAGAGTGAGGAACACAGAATGTGTGGCTAACCGTTTTCATGAACAATTAACTGTCCCATGCATGAGACCAGAAGAACTGGAGGCCACCTGGTTCCATTAGCAAATGTTTTTATGAAAAACTCTTCGGAAGAATCTTGAGCCAAAAGGAGAAAATGCAGAGCAGAACTCAAACTCCCATGTAATCAAGACTTTATAGAGTCACAAAGGCTGAATGAACCCCTGAAGCTACTGCACTGATGATAATATATAAACCTTAAAACAAAAATGTCCCTTTAAATATTCTTAATCTCAAAGAAGAGTTTAGCTTAATTTAATAAAGAATGACTTCTAATTTATCTTAGTAAAGAATGTCCGCCTTGAATAAGGAGAACTCCAAAATCTCAACAATAAAAAGACAAAGAATCTAAACAAAAATGGGTATTTGTCTCCTCTCTGCCCTGGGACACACATCCTGGGGAGGAGCGGTCATGTTTTAGCATGCTGTCTCTGAACTTGTGCTACTGAAGCTCAGAGAGTTTTGGAGCTTCTGGAGTTTACTGGAATATTGCGATGGGAAAGTCTGTTGTTAGGACCAGGGTACTGAAGAGCAATGGTGTCACTCTGGAGACTAAGGTGCGTCTGATACAGGCTATGTGGTCTTTGCAATCACTTGCTATGCATCAGACAGTTGGACAATGACTAAGGAGGACAGAATGAGAATTGATGCCTTTGAGCTGTGGTGCTGGAGAAGAGTATTGAATGTACCCTGGACTGCCAAGAAAACAAAGATTCATGCTGGAGAGGGTTAAACCAGGCTGTTCCTAGGAGGCAAGGATTCTGAGGCTTCATCTGACATACTTTGGACATGTTGTAAGGAAGGAGAGGTCCTTGGAGAGGGACATCATGCTTGGGAGGGTGGAGGGACAGCGCAGGAGGGGAAGACCCTCTCTGAAGAGGATTGATTCAGTGACTGGGGTAATCGGGATGGGTGTGGCAGAGGCAGTGAGACTGGCACAGAATAGAGCAGGCTTTAGGGCTGTTGTACACAGGGTCGCTATGAGTCACAAGTGACTCAACTGCATATAACAACAACAACAAAGCTGTAGTTGTCTTTGGTGGAGGTGGGGAGAAGTGGGTGTTTGTTACCCTGCTCTTGTAAAGAAGAAAATTAAAATGTCAGAGTGAAGAAGGGGATTGAGGAAGACCCCTTTTTAATTATTTGGAAGAAAAAACTTGGAAAGAAACATTTGAAGAAAATGTAAGGAATATATCCGATAAACTTTTGTTTAACATTTTCCCCTACAGAAGTAAGTGAAAGTTTTGCTGTGACTTTTGTAAATTATTTTATTTTCATGATTTCATAATATGAAAGTTATATATAATCAATAGGGAGCTCTCATGGCCTAAGGGCAATAAGGTGCACTACAATCCTGAAGGCACATGGTTCAACTCCACCAGCCGCTCCACAGAAAGAAGATAAGCAATCTCCTTCCATCAATTAACTGCCTCAGAAAACCCTCCTGAGGGTCAGTCATGGGTCAGTTCGGACTCAACAGTAGAGAACAACAACATATAGCCATTAAGCATTAGCTACATTCAAAATTTGTTATCTCTTAAAATTCTCAAAAGCAATATAACTGAAAGAGGTGACTTCAGTCTCTAGAGCTGTCCAATATAAATACTATGTCAATCAAATATGCAATTTTAAATGTCCTAATAATTATATTAAACTGTTAAAAGAAATAGGCAAAATTAAGTAATATTTTGTTTAGCCCAGTATAAGGAAGAATTGATGCCTTTGTATTGTGGTGTTGGAGGAAAGTACTGAGTATCTCATGACCTGCCAACCAAATCTGTCTTCAATTAAGTTCAACAAAGGGTGATTCTTAGAGGCAAGGATGGTGAAACTTTGACACACTTTGGGCATGCTGAAAGTAGAGGTCAGTCCTTGGAAGACATCAAGGGGAGAAAAGCAACAAGTCAGCAAAAGAGAGGAAG